AAAGATGTCCTCAGTAATGCCAGGTACGGTATCCTGAAGTTGCACTATGAGTTACCGAAAACATTTGCTCAGAATGCTATACTGTCTTGCAGTTAAACCTGGATGAAGAACTAAAGTTCTATCCGATTTGATTAAAAAAATCTTTCAGCTATGCCAAGAATGCAAAGCGATTAGCAGAGATGCTCATCAACCAACCGATCAGTGCAAAACAACTTTTCATCAAACACAGTGAATTTGCTGCCAAGTAAGTGAACCTAATGACTCATTGTGGCTGAAATAAGCGCTGTTATACCTAAGGCTGACGCAGGCCCCGCTTCCCTACTCCTCTGCCTTGAAAAGTAAATCCCTACTCAGAGCAAGGGTTTTGCAAATTATCTCTTGGGACACGGCCCTGGTTCCAAAAGGTTTGAGTCCTGATTTTATCGCGTTGAGGAACAACCTACAAAATGCGTAATTCGGGCTCAAATTTTGTTCAAAATGCTTTCCGCCGCTAGGTACTCCCACAGATGGGCGTGTTTGAAGGCTCCATTGTGTATTGACCGCTTTGCAAACAAAGATACGGTACCCACTACCCTTAGGCAGATTTCTAGACTTGACAGCCTCATTTATGCGACAAAGGGCTCCCAGCACTCTGGGTACTGAGGGCTAAGCTTTGAAGGCGACAGGAATGGAATGGTTGACAGCCGACTGCCCCGCTACTAAGGACATTAAAATTTTTTTCGATAATTTCGTTAAAATTTATATTAATGTTTAATTGTTTCAGGTTTGGACGCTTGCCAAATCTCGATCCTTACGGAAGGCAGTTGTCTTTCTTCCAGTACTTTCTGATAGATATATTTCTTGTCATTATTGGTGCTCTTGCTGTTAGCATATACATTATCGTCAGGATTCTGCGAAAGATTTACTCGGCCAGAACCAAAAGTAAAAAGGAATAAGCTCTATTGAGAAATTGCGTGTATGTATGTATATGTTCCCAGGGACACAAGAAATATAATTATTATTAATAAATATTTTTTATCAATACGGTGTCTTGGAGTGAAGTCCCATCCAAGTTTGTCGAGGAATCTTTGATAGAAGAAATTTTTCTTTCGAGAAAGATGAAATATGTTTGTGAAATTGATAAGGAGGTTGTAGTGGAAAAAAATTTTGTTCACTTGTTTATTCAACTGTTCTATAAGCTTCCTGAGAAAGTGGTAAAATAAACAAAAACAGTACCAAGCTTGTACCGAAAGGTTACGTTCTCATGACTGGGAACTATACGTGCGGCTATAGAGTAGGGAATTCAGAAGCTCTCCTGCCCTGTAGCTGCCTTTCACTAACAGAAGCCTGTTGCTTGTAGTTGTAGAACATGGTTACCCGGAGCATACCCAGCCTGATAGCCCACTCGGAATCTTGTAGGTATCTGGAGAAGCTGTCGATAGAGCAGCTCAGATAGATCCGCTGTGGAAAGGCTGTTGAGTGTGTTTGGACTGTTTTGATCAATAACCATATCAAGTACCGCGGAGGTGTTAGGTGGTAGAGTTCATTCTGTGAAGTTGTTAACACCAAGACCGGTAAGTAGTTTGCCGATTGAACGCTGTGGTGGTAGACAGTATAGCTTTATGTTAACTTGGCTCAAAACGTTATTTCAGAGCGACTTTACAGGCAGGAGAATCCAAGAACATGGCTGAATACGAACCCATCGCACCAGATGCTGGCGGTGCACCGCCACCTCCACCCCCTCCGCCTGCTCAGTCACCACAACCACCGGTTGGTAATTTCCCACCTCAACCTCCTCCACCCTTACCACCACCTCCTCCAGCTGGACCACAGTTTCCTCCACCACCTGCTCCACTACCTCCTCCTCCTGCACCGAGACCACCATTTCCCTTTTCCCCTTCGCCATCACCATCTCCTTCACCTGGGCCACAGTTTCCTCCACCACCTGTACCACCACCAGCTCCTCCACCGCCGGTGCCGTCACCACCTCCTCCTCCACCGCTGCCTCAAGCCCCTGTTCCACCACCACCACCTAACCCAGTTCCTCCGGCACCAGTACCGCCACCTCCACAGCCACCTGCTGCGGCTGGTGTTTCACCTACTCCCAACGGCCCTGTTCCTCCAGCAGTTTCTCCTAAGATGACTCTGGAACAGTTTGCAATGATGAATGATCCATTTTTCGCTCTTCCGTGAGTTCCCTTTATGCCTTGGGTTATCGAAATGCGGAAGAAATGCGCTTGCTTCAGTGAAACTAAAAAGCAGCCCAAGATAGATATAAGACAAAATGCTCCAAAAGGTGGGTTGGATTCAGCTTGGATTTACTTGTATAAAGACCAAGAGGCCGTCTTGAATGATTATGTCTACGACAACACTTTAGCATAGATTATCGATTATACCCAAATATTCATTTCAAACAGGTACTATGAGAAGACACAAGAGTAGAAAGAGGAAAACTGAAGACGATTGAATCCCATAATCTCTCTATCAAGGTTCGCTTTCGCCATAATTCCAAGCAGATTCTGTGCAGGACCCATTTCAGTGAGCTATCGTAACATAATGTCTTTCAGGCACAAACAAAACCGATCAACAGTTAAATTCAAGTTATTAGGAGTTCATTATCAATACTCTTTAACTGGTTAATAAACATTGCAAGTGTTTTGGCGTTACATTCCATCCGACTTCGTTAAAGAACATTAGAGAACAAAAATAAAGGGTAGATGGAGTATTGTAGACGGCGCCGCCACGGTATGTACTGGCCGGAGAGCTCAAACCTCACAAAAACATCAGTAGAAGTGAAACAAGCCTACGTGCTTGGAGGAGCAGTCAGTATTTTGGCACCAGATTTGTTTGGGAAGGAAAAAGCACTGATGATCCTACATTGACTGGCCATCATAATTCACTGCATACGTCTTGGGAGATTAGGGTGTGGGAACGTTCCAGTGTGAAAGCTATTGTTCAATACCGTTTACATACCTGATTTCATCTACCATGTTCATGCTGATCGCGTTCATTTGGAACTTATGATATCGCGAGCTGAACCTATCAACTTCCAATGCTTTCCCCTCTGTTAGGAACCCGTGATGTACTTCGCTTGATCCTTTGTGCTTTGTAGTCCATTGGTAAGCCGATCATTTGTGAGTAGTGAGATAAGCACTGCGCATCAGTTTGATAAGAACTATAAGGTTTCCATTGGCACCTTTTTCATGAGAACTTGCCATCTGCTAGTGGTCGGTCTTCCACTCTCATGACATCCTCAGTTCTGATAGGCCTCTGTTCCGTTCTCGTGGTATTATCGACTACTAAGAACTATCTTTGAGAGGTAGAAGAAGCAATTTGACATTGGAGGAGCTTCAGGAGCCGCCTTAGAGATTTAGCCACGTGGGAGCTTTCTTTCTTGTGATTGTTTTCACTCTCATACATATCATTTTAAGGTGCTGATGGAGGCGCCAGTAAAAAAAGTGAAAAATGCCGGAACTGATCAAATAGGACCATTTTTGTAGCCGGCTATCCCGTTCCCCACAACACTGGTGTGCAGGTTCGACCGAGTTTGAGCTCTTATGTGTCTTCTC